CCCCCATTACCCCTTTCCCCACTCCTCGTTCGCCCACTTCCCGTTCCCCTACTTCCCGTACCCCACTCCCCGTTTCCCGGTTCCCCCATTCCCTGTTCCCTCATTCCCCCATTCCCCGTTCCGGATTTTAAAGATAGCCGTTCCAGAGGTGTTCCGGGCTGTTACATGCTGTTCCGGAGGTGTTCCGGAGGTGTTCCGGGCTGTTCCGGAGGTGTTCCGGGCTGTTCCGGGCTGTTCCGGTGTTCCGGATTAGTGTTCCGGGTTTTAGTACATGCCTTTAACCTCTGCACGAATTTTTTTTCAAGACTATTTGTACTTTGCTGTTTGCTTGCACGAGTTTTTTTCTCTGACGTAATGGCTGCACGAATTTTTTTCCAGGCATTCTTCTTTGCACGAATGTTTTTTTGGGAAGTTTCACCCCCCTCCCGGGATTTCTAATGGTTCGCCCCTTAGCCGCGAAGGTATCAGTTTTTTTTTACTCACCCCGTAGTATACACTAGGAATTGATGTTGTCTCGCAGAGATTTTAAACGAAATTTGGGCGCATTTTGGTCACAGCACAAATTGTGGTGAGGAATTTTAATGTATTTAACAATCAACATGGATATCGCTTGGAAGACGCAAAAATTTAACGAAAATGTCGCTGTTCGACTTTAAGAATACTGCTTCTAAATACAGATGACTAGCGTCGTCATTGATATGATACAATGCTTGGAGTTGGATATGTACTCATTTAGTGCTCCGCGATCGAATACAGGAAACACACATTGAATGACCGTGCTTTCAATGATAAAGTTGAGCTATATTTTGTTATATTTAGTTGAACTGAATACTTGTTATCACACGATTCACTGTTTTAGCAAGCCAATCACAGGGCATGATTATTTTAGCCTTCGTGTGACGTCATGTTTCGTTGCGACAGTATATCTGTGTATACAGAGATGGACATGTTAAGCTATCACTTTTTACATGATATTATGGGGCAAAATCGTATACAGTCTCAGCACCAATGTTATGGAACAATTTACCATTATACCTAAGGTCTTGCTCTAACCTTGATATTTTTAAATCTAAATAAAAACCTATCTTTTTAAATTAGCGTTTAAACTTGACTAAACAACTATTTTATAACACAGTAACATCAAATCATAAACGAATCTGCTTATATAGCAATAGCTTGGGTAGAGACAGCTAAGACAACCTTATGCCTTACTTGAGACTCGTTAAACACTGGATTTTATTTTGCCCTCACACTCCACAAAGCCGATGGTAAATCTCGTCGCGTTAAAAACGGACAAAAATATTTATTTTAGTAAGCCGCAAGGAAATATGATGACTGACGAGGTAAATACAGCCACGTTTCCAAACATCAGAAGTAAATATTTGACTTAGTTTCTCAGAATTGTTGAAATTCAATCTCCCCTAAAATTATCCAACTAGTATCTTTCCCTCACACGCAAACAAGCATGCTTACAAGCATGTTTATTTATGTTGATATACCTAAATGTCCGCATTTTCCCTCATATTCGCGTTTTACCCTCTCATCCGTTCGTCTGCATTTTACCCTCTCATCCATCCGTCCGTCCGCATTTTACCCTGTTATCCGCCGTCTGTCCGTCCGCATCTGCGTTTTATTATAACCCTCGTGCATGCCTATTTCATTTTCCATCTTTTTCCCACGGTCCAGGCAGTTATATAAATAGTGATATATAATAGTAAAATATGAAGAACCAATTTGCAATCCTTTCAGAAACGATTTAAGAATTAAATTCGAATCGAAGGCAGGCACTTGAGATAAATACATGCTACAAGTACTGCAGACTTGGAAATGGAAGCCAGGAAGAGCAGACTTTGTTGAGATCAGGTGCTGGTTGTTGAAAGTAACCTGCTGTTGTGACTAGTGTATTTCTGCATTTCTGTTTATTTCAACTTCAGAAAGTATAAAATTTCCGTCTATCCAGACAAAATTTCTGGAAAATAGACTGATTTCCATGTTTATATAAAACAAGCTGTCGGGAACGTCAAATTCCTGCGCGCAACGCTAAACCAGTTATCAGTATATATCGATATAATATTAGTGCCATATTAGTTCTATATTGAGTTAGTTCTATATTTATAAGTAAGATTTTACCTCGTATTAGATGAAGACGTTTGCTGCCTGGAGATGCTTCAATCCCAGACCAAATCAATCCAAATTGTTGAAAGTTTGTGAGAACCCCGACTCGTGCTACGCACAAAGAATTTGTAACAAGTATAACGTCATTATATGCATGCTTTCTTTGTGACAGTTGTTTAGAAAATCTATCCAGTGATGACTTTAGTTGCATGACTTTAGTTTAATTGTGTTTCATTGTTCCCATCACAGTGCCGTTCATAAAACATCCTGATGCAACAGTGGGACCAGGCTCCATCAGAATATTGATTACAGTAAAGCTGTTGCACTTATACTGGCTACATATCTGCATGATTTTTTTAGTTTTGGGTATATGCTTATGATTCGGCAAAGTTTCTCGTTATTTAAACATCTACAGTAAAGTTTGAAAAAATGGGCCGTTTTCCCACACATTCCTATTTCATTAGGGTAGACAATATAGACATATATCATCCTGCTGTGAGGCAACTAACGTTACTAACGTTTATATTAGCAACGCAGTGGTGTTCGTGTGAAAACGGTTACGTTTTTATTTTGCGCCACTTTAGTATGGCTGTCTGTAGAACAAGGAGAATCGGGGAACGGAATGAGGAATGCAATGAGGAACGTGAAAACTCGAAACGAGAAAATCCGGAATCTGTAATACCAGGAATGAGAAAAGCCGGAATCTGTAAAACCAGGAACGGAAAAAGCCGGAATCTGTAAAACAGGGAAAGGAAAAATACGCAATCAAGTTCAAAATGAGAACGACATATACACCAAAATATATAGCCATCTATATGACAACTTCTTCCCTGGCTTCCTATAATAGCCATTTAGAACGTATCTATGATTGTTTTAACTGGACATAGCCTAAAAACTGACGGGTGTAATCTGCAATTTCTCCTATGCATAAGAGCAGGACGAAGTTAGAACGGGATGATATGAGATGATGATTAGTTTTGGACATGTGTGCGATACGTTTCGGTCAGGTGTCTGTGGTGGCTGTTTGGATAAGGCCAGGACAAAGACACAGCAGGGTAATTTCACATTTCAGTTATATTGCACGAGACGAGAGCAAACAAACAGCTGGATGATTTTCTTTCACATAGTGTAGTATCTTCTAATCTATAGTCACTGTTTATATGAAGTCATGTTGATAAAATGGTCAAATCGATTTGAAGTCTGCTCCCGAGTGATTTCAGCAGTATATCCTGTTGTCTGTTGTGTATTTTTCTTCTGTTTTATACATTCTCTATATTTTAACACAAACTTGGGAAATCATAGTTTGTAAACTTGCGAGTTGTGCGAATATTTTCCGGTATGGTCTACTTTCCAAACCTTGTGAAGATTGGCAATCTATGAAATAATGCCTATTTATTATATGGGAAGCATCACTTCCGGTGAAATGGCGGACTGTGATTGGCTGAAAAGCACTATCATCGGTCCATTATTTCCCTGTAATGACCGGCGGTCCATTAGTCATTGCGTAAAAACAAACGCATGTATGCATTTTAAAACAAAACAGCAAAACTAATTGAAAATTTGAAAGTTTTAACTTAATTTGTTATTAATAAGATATCTGCGAATGGTTTTTAGTGGGAAAGAAGGAATACATTGGTATTTTTTTGTTTTCTTCGACCAAATGTGTACCACGTTACTAATATATGCATTTCAAATCATGCATTTCTCTTTTGTTTCAAGTATAAATGCCATATATTAACCTTGCTTGCTCGGTATATATATGTACAGAGAAATATCGGACCTTGGTCTTTTTGGATAAACCTCGCCCTACGGGCTGGGTCTGTACAAAAAGACCTTGGTCCGATATTTCTCTGTACAGACCTCGCGTTTGGTTAATAGAAATGAAGGTTACGTTCAAGGTCCTATTATCCATATCTCTAAATTACAGTATATACAGCAAGAGACAGAGACGAGATTACTGGGTTAATAATCAAAGTCCAGCCACAATGGCTAGAGATGTTTCAACCGACATGACCAAGATCTCCGGCTGGCCGTTGCCATCATCCATGATATCAAGTACTTCCAATTCTTCTTCTAAATCAAGAACATCAACTGAATAATACCCGGAAATGTCAGAACCAATCTGTGCTGGTTGTGGATAGAACATCTCGCCCTCACCAATCTCTTGAATTGGAGGCCTACCATCTGTTGCAATCTGTGCTGGTTGTGGATATAGCATCTCGCCCTCAAGAGTCTCCTGTATTGGAAGCCTACTATCTGTTCCAGGTTCATGCACTATGGCAGGATTTTCACCCGCCAGGGTTGACGCTGTCGCCATCATTCTGCTCTCTCCTTGCTGTGCTGGGGGTGCTGCTCCCCCATTTTTCACATTTTCATCTTCATAATTTTCTTTCGCGCTTGATGTAGGACGCCCCTGTCCTGCATCCATTGGTGATCTGGAGAAGCAAAAATGAAAAATAGTGGAGAACCTGCAGACCTCCCTATTTTCTTCACAAGTCACGTACGTGCTGGGGACACTATGGAACACCCCACACAAAATCGTGTGTGTCTGGGCTTTCTCCCAGCCAATCAAACCATTATTATGCCGCCTGTATGGTGATTAAGAATCTGTCATAATTCACAAGTTTTAACGTTAAAAATCTAATTCAGGATGCTTTGTAACTTCCATGAACCTCCATGCACATGTAAAGCCTCGTACCCAGGTTCTTTGGTAATGAATAGCGGCTTCAGAGCTCTGGGCAGCGCGCGGGGATTCCCCGTATTTTGACAAAAATGCAAATATGAAAGAATGAACAATCTGGAATTTGTTTTGAATCTAAGACAAGTACTTACTATAAGTACATGCTACAAACATTGCAGAAATATTAAAGGAATGAATTTCTGAAATATAGTCTCGTTTGTGTTTTAACAAAAGGTTAAATAGTTGCTGACTTCACAATAGTTTATCATAATTAATATATATAATTTTCCATATCCGTAGTATATTAGTCAATATTAGTTCTATATTTAACATGTATTAGACCAAGACGTTCGCTGCAGCCAGGAGAATCGTTTGTTTCAAGCTTGGACAAAATAACCCAACAATTTTTTTGGATGCTTGACACGGTATGTGTGTCACTTCATGCACAGTTAATTCATGTCACTTGTAGTGTCTTAGACACATATAGTGACAGCAAAATTGTGCATGGCGCTTACGTCACTGAACAGCAAAATTAATATGCTTTAGTAATCTTAAGAATTTTTAAGGTAAGCAGTTATTTCACTTCAACCCCCGCGATAATACGAATTGTGCTTCTACGTTGGTTTCATTAAAATCTTATTTTCTATAAAATTGTCGACACCATCAGCCAATTCCCCAAACTGATTTAGACGTAAACTTTGTCGATAAGATTCGATTCAGCACATCTAAACTGATTTCATTAAAATCGCATTTTCTATAAAATGTTATGCTATAAAACTGAAACATTGCCACAGGGTGAAATTTTAACCATGTTAATTAACCCTGATCCTGTATTAGCGGTAATCGATCTTTCGAGAATCGACCCCTGGGTATAGTATGTAGTTTCATTCACACACATCCGTTTCTATATGATAGCCCGATGGATGTCGTGGACAAAACAAGTGGTATAACCACCCTGCATGTAAATTATACGTTACCAAGCCGCCGGCTCCTCAGTCTTTTATATTTAGCACATCAACTATTAACACCTTACAATAGACAATAAACTCGCGCTGTGATTGGCTAAATCCCCACTTAGCCCTAGAATATTGTCAATAGAACAATATTCTCTTTCAGATCAGGTCACTATATACACACAATATATAAGGTGTAAATATACATAAATACGCTACTAGATGTGTTAATTTGTAGATATAACACAGCAACTCTAGGTCAATAACATAAATATTACAGTACTTTCCACTGGCCTTGCGTTTCATTGTGTATAGATGCATGACAGTTTATAATTTCAGTTAACTGTTTGAAGCCTGTTTGGCATGGTGGAAAAGACGGAGTCGGAGTATGGAGTTTTATACATACTCTATATTTTAACACAAACTTAGAAAATCGTAGTTTACATAAACTTGCAAGTTGTGCGAATATTTCACGGTAGTACTTTCCAAACCTTGTGAAGATTGGCAATCTATGAAATAATGCCTATCTCTAAATTTTACAATATAGCAAGAAACAGACACGAGATTCAGTATTGGGTTAATCAACTTTACTATAGTGACAATTTTAACATTATATTTGTTTATTTAAAAATATTTATACACACAGTTACCCATTCAATTAAAGATGCGGTACAGTCCGATCTGCGCATGTGCACAAAGGAGCCCTCTTTTTATTTACAAACAGTTTATTTAGGTTTTTATTTCATTTTATGTTCTTGCAAAATGCAAAGCTTGATTGTTGTCTCTTGATAATTTATTATACTCTAGAATCATGAAAATATAAATAGTTGTCGAATAAAATTCAATATTTTGCATACCGAAATGTAAACAAAGCCTTTTTTTTTTCTTTTTTTTTATTTTTTATTTAGCTTCGCCTATAATTACACAATCAAACAACACGTAAACACAACCATTTCTGTCCAACCCAAAAACGAGCAAACTTCAGCGCCCCTGTCTATGTTTCAACATGTCTTTGTTTACATACGGACTGTACCGTGTTTTTAAAGGGTCGTGTGTTAAAAATAGTTGCATGCAATATTTAATTACAACAGGCTTTCGTTGGTATGGATGCAACTGCCTGAACAATATAAGTTATGAAAAATAAATTATGAATATTTAATTACAACAGCAATCAACTATATTTACATGCAATATTTAATTATTATTAATGTACTTTAATATGTTAGGTTAGCTTAAAGTGGTTTGGACATCTGGTGACTTAGCCTTGCATAAATTGAATATTTAAATAACAGACTACAATTATAATAACAGAATACAATTATGTACCATGCATAACAGACCACAACTATATACCATGTATTTCTATATTATCTTGTTTTCGTTTAGTAGGGTATTCCTTTAAATCGTAGTTAGAAAAAATTCAAAGTCCAGCCACAATGGCTGGAGATGTTTCAACTGACATCGCCAAGATCTCCAGCTGGCCGTTGCCATCATCCATTATGTCAATTACTTCCAGTTCTTCTTCTAAATCAAGAGCATCAACTGAATAATACCCGCAAATGTCAGAACCAATCTGTGCTGGTTGTGGATAGAGCATCTCGCCCTCAAGAGTCTCCTGTATTGGAGGCCTAGGATTTTCACCCGCCAGGGTTGACGCTGTTGCTATCATTCTCTCTCTTCCTACTTCCTGTGCAGGGGGTGCTGCTCCCTCATTTTCTTCATTTTCATCTCCATCATTTTTTTCCTCGCTTGATGTAGGACGTTCCTTTCTTGCATCCATTGGTAATCTGAGAAAGCAAAATGACAAGTAATTTGAAATCTTAGTTCCTGTTTTTCACTTCCGCTATGCCTGGTGTGCTTGGGAAGGACGGGAAGCGAGAAGGCTTAACACAATTCACAAATCTGGCCTTCTTGGGGTCGTTTTTGCCCTTCGAGCAGTCTTAGGTTGTGTAGATTTACATCGATATTTTTGTATAACTTTGTGCCTTTGGGATGAACAATGAATATGTTTCTTCGATATGGAAGGAAATGCATGTGCTGGCAGTTTGGGTAAGGTTACTTTATGCGGAATGTAGGACTAAGATCGAAAGTTGATGAATTTTGCTAGGCCTTCTCCTGCGGTTCAAAACCGATCTAGTCACGCGGGAAGGCCTGGGAGTAGGCTAATTTGAAATCTGTATCAAATTTGAATATGCATGAGCATAAAAAAATATAAAAATGTTTGGTGGAGAACCTGCAGACCTCTCTATTTTCTTCACAAGTCACATACGCGCTGGGGCACCTACATCCTCGTTCCCAGGGCTTCTCGGCTGCCTTACGGCAACGCAGGCAGCCGAGAAGCCCTGGGAACGAGGATGGGGCACCTATGGAACCCCTCACCCAAATTCGTGTGTGCCTGGGCTTCTTCCAGCCAACCAAGTCATTATTCTGCCGCCTATATGGAGATTAAGAATCTGTCATAATTTACAAGTTTTAGCGTTAAAAATCTAATTCAGGATGCTTTGTAACTTCTCCATGTATATGTGCAGCCTCGTACCCAGGTTCGTTAGTAATAAATAGCGGCTTCAGAGCTCTGGGCAGCGCGCGGGGATTCCCCGTATTTTGACAAAAATGAAAAAAATGCAAATATGAAAGACAGTACGACATATCATATCAGTACGACAGTAGCATATTAATTAGTCAATAATTTTATAGTTCTATATTTAAAAGTATTCATGTATTAGACCAAGACGTTCACTGCAGTTAGGAGAATCGTTTGTATCAATCCTGTACAAAATAACCCAACAATTTTTTTGGTGTTCCTTTATTTAAATTACTTTATTTTGTACTTTACACAGTTAGCTACTTTTTTAATGTATCTGGCGGTTGAGAAACACAAAATAATAATTAAATATTGTCAATTTAAGAACAATTATCATTGTACATTGATTGTAAATTGACGCCATATATTTATACAGCAATATTAGCAAAACTTACAATTATACAAATACAAAACTTACAATATTTATACAGCAAATCATTTTTTCTTTGGCATGCTCGCCCCTAACTTGTCTACTTGGCTACTGCATAGTTAAAAACACGTCATAAACAAACGTGCTTAATATATGAATGTACATGATACAATATCAGTTGGTTTTTACGTATTTTACGGCATGGCCTTGTGAATAATTTTCGTACTAATATATTACGTTTGATTGTTTTTGAATTATCATGTTGACTCAGGCAAACAGACATACACAGAGTCTGAGACGTGTACACCCAGAGACACGAACACCGATGAAAACATTATATCTTCAGCTTAATTTTCTTTACTTTTAGGAAAATTTATTTGACTTTGTCTTTGTGTATGTTGTTGTTTAGGCCAAATTCCTATACATATTCGCTGAACAATTGATAAATATAGAATTGATATAATTGCTAAAGATTGCAATATTGACCTACATCCATAGCTAACTTTTTAAAATTACACTGATTATTATTTGATTACAACGGCTTGGTGACAACTTGCTACAAAGCTGTTGAGCTCAACGACAACGGACTTGTTGCAAGTTGTTCCAAGTATGTACAATTTATTGTCATGCCCAGCCATCCTTAACGTAATACTACAGTATAAAAATATAAAATCATTTTATTCCAACTTAAATTTTTAGAACAGTAAGTAGTTTCCGCAGTAAAAATCTCAACTTTTAAGTTTTAATGAAACTAGGGATTAAAGAACTACGGTATGTCAGCCGATTCCAAAAGATGCAGCATTAACTAGAGCCCCGTTTACACTGCGCTCAATTTTTGGTACGGCACGGATAAAATTGGTACCCGTACCACTTTTTTGGTTCTTGGACTACCTATTTAGGTAGTCCAAGAACCAAAAAAGTGGTACGGTACCAAAAATTGAGCGTAGTGTAAACGGGGCTCAAAATATAGGTATTCCAAGAACCAAAAAAGTGGTACGGGTACCAATTTTATCCGTGCCGTACCAGAAATTGAGCGTAGTGTAAACGGGGCTTAAGACACGAAAATATGTACATTTTCCTCGAAAGTATATAGGCTATAGCTGACCTGTTCTCATTTATATTTGTCAAAATCTATGTCCATACTAAACTATTTAACTGCTAGTTTACAAATTAAACGAAAAACGATACTTACCCGAATTTCCCCCAAATCGATGCTTGCACGGTATGTGTGTCACTTTAGGTCAATCTGATATTGAAGAACATAGTTACCACTAGCCTTGCGTTTCATTGTATATATAGATGTGAGTTTATTTTGCCAAGGGCCAAATCAATGAGATTTGTTTCAAAAGCCTATCATTGTCTCATTATATGTGTTCTGCCCTAAGTGGGCTCTTAGCCTTAGCCAATCACAGTGCGAGTTTATTGTTTATTGTAAGAAGGTGTTAGCAGTGATGTGCTAAATAAAGACTAAGGAGCCGGCTGCTTTGTAACGTATAATTTACAGGGTGGTTACCACTTGTTTTGTCACGACATCCATCAGGCTATCATAGAAACGGATGTGTGTGAATGAAATTACACACTATACCCAGGGGCCGATTCTCAAAAGATCGATTACTGCTAATACAGGGTTAACATGGTTAAAATGGTTAAAATTTAACCCTGAGGCAATGTTTCAGTTTTATACCATAACACACTATAGAAAGTGAGATTTTAATGAAATCAGTTTAGATGTGCTGAATCGAATCTTATGGACAAAGTTTACATCTAAATCTGTTTGGGGAATTGGTCTGATGGTGTGTGAAAATTTTATAGAAAATGAGTTTTAATAAAACCAGGGTAGAAGCACAATTCATATTATCGTGGGGATTGAAGTGAAATAAATATTGCTACCTAGGTAAAAATCCTAAAAAGTGACGTAACAAAACACCTACATGCGTCAGTGTTTTGAGTAACGAAAACAGCGCCTCATTATATGTGTTCTGCCCTAAGTGGGCTATTAGGCAAGCACAGCGCGAGATTATTGTCGTGGGTTTTTTCCGGGTACTCCGATTTCCTCCCACAGGGGAAGTTAACAGGATGGGTTTAGTAAAAGGGCCTACAGTAATTGACATATAATTTTTACAAAATTATACAGTGTTCTCCGGATTCTAATTATTTGTTTTAGAATAATAAAAAAATAATAATTATTTAAAAATAATTATTATAAAAATTATTATATCAACGTATACAGGAACGTAGCAACACCGCAAAACTTTAATTAAGTAATGTACATATGTAATTTTAATCTCAGTATTCTGAAGAAGGCTCGAAGTACCGAGTCGAAAGCTCAATAAAAATATATTTCAATCCGGAGAAAAAGTTGGTAGTAAAAAAATGTTAAAAATCTAAATCAGTCTGATTGTTTAAATTCTAAATGTATATAATTTAAACAATCAGACTGATTTAGATTTTTAACATTTTTTACTATACCAACTTTTTTAGACTTTTAAATTCAAACAATCAGACTCATTCACTCATCATACTTAATTATATACTATTCTAATTAGGACGACATGTATAAAAGACGCCTTAATATTGTTGTAAACAATTTTTTCACCCACTGAAGAAGCCTTAACCGGCGAAACGTCTGGGTTATAGTCATTATATCTTTTTTATGCCTGAGGAAGTTCTTGTTTTATTTTTAAAAAACACCATTCACATTGAAACCAGGCATGGCAACCATAACGCTTTCATATATATATATATATATATATATATATATATATATATATATATATATATATATATATATATATATATATATATATATATATATATATATATATATATATATATGAAAGCGTTATGGTTGCCATGCCTGGTTTCCGAATGTGAATGGTGAACTTCCTCAGGCATAAAAAGGTATAATGACTATAACCCAGACGTTTCGCCGATTAAGGCTTCTTCAGTGGGTGAAAAATTCACAACAATATTAAGGAGTCTTCGATACATGTCGACAACAATATTAAGGCGTCTTTTATACATTAGGACGACATGTATAAAAGACGCCTTAATATTGTTGTAAATTTTTCACCCACTGAAGAAGCCTTAACCTGCGAAACGTCTGGGTTATAGTCATTATACCTTTTTATGCCTGAGGAAGTTCTTGTTTTAACTCAAAAACCACTCAAATAACTCAAAAACCACTACATAACGTTACACGGGTGGAATCGTAAACGTGGGAAACCACAACATTTATATTTATATATATATATATATATATATATATATATATATATATATATATATATATATATATATATATATATATATATATATATATATATATATATATATATATATATATCTTATATATATATATATATATATCTTATATATATATATATATATCTTATATATATATAAGATATATATATATATATATATATATATATATATATATATATATATATATATATATATATATATATATATATATATATATATATATATAACGTGTAACGTGTCATATTTCTATTTATTTTTTTCTTGCGAACTCATATTTTACGGTTTTCTGCAATCTGATTGGCTACGTGCGCGGTCCTTATGAGCCCGTACGGACCGCGCGAGATTTAAAGCCGTAGAGCCAATGTTTTTATTTTTCAAAATTTAAAGACGAGTTTAAAGGCTACTTTTTAAAACATTAAAATCTCTGCAGACGATGAAGAACACTGTGAGAGCGAATTTTACTATCTCACAAAGATATTACTCTTCCCGATAGCATTGATAGAAACGACGTTTTATTTGGCAGTTTCATTCGCGTGCGGAAAGGGTGATTTGGGAAATACAGAGGAGGAATTAAAAAAAAAAAAAATATATACCGGTATGGTCGGTCCGTATAGAGAAATACTTCTCTCGGTCTTTAAAACGTCCCTCGGCGTTCGGTCACGGGCCGTTTTTAAGACCTCGAGAAATATTTCTCCATACGGACCTCCAATCCGGTAAATAACATATATATATTTTACTGTAAATTAATAATAATAATAATAATAATAATAATAATAATAATAATATGACTTTATTTATGCACAATGATGTTTAAAGCATAAACTTGTGGGGTCGTGCACTTAGAGATATATACAAGAGTTATATATTACATAGAATTAATTACTATCTCTTTACTAACTATGTCTATGAAAAGACAAAGTCTTTGAAGGTGATTGTTTTTATGGTCTTTTTTACGAAGGCGTTAACATTGTCATGTTTATCAATGTTTATTTCGCCATGTTTTCGATTTACATCATTCCACAAGGTAGTACATCTATACGTTATAGAGAGCTTCAAAGTTTTTGTATTGAACCGGGGTGAACAAGGGTGAATTTTGTTTTCGACCAACCAGAGCATTTGGTTACCTTTTGGCGCTAAGCCAATCAGAACGCATACATTGTTACTACTTCCGATTTAGAAGCGTATTTCAACACGAAAATTACGGTTGTAAATAAAGCCTTGGGGGGGGAGCTGGTTTTTTAATTTTTTGGACTTATTTCAGTGAAATCCTATAAAATATAAAATTTTCGAAAAATTTGTCGCTGGTATTTGCGCTTCATCGCTTAGTTTTGAAATTATCCGCACGGCGTATGCAAGGTCACTCTCGAATAGGTCAAAAGTTGAATTCAACCCTGTTGACCGGGTTGAAATTTCAGCCCTGTCTCTAATATAAAACTCTATCAAAATCAAATGTGCAACTATACATAATAAAATTTTCAAGCCAGGGCCCAGTTCAACCCCGGGGTTGAAATTTCAACCCTGCTTCAGTTAGCAGGGATTCGGGTTCAAAATGTCGTCATGCAATCGTTTCAACCCAGGGTTGAAATTATTCACGAGTTATTCAAGCATGTGTGGTAGTACTATTTACTACAAGAAAACAACATGGAGGCTACGGAGCTGCTTTTTTACTTCCGGAAATCAATGTCTGGGAATGTACAACAAATTTCAACCCCAGGGTTGCAAAAAATTTCAACCCAGTTAACAGGGCTGAGTTTAACCCTAGGGTTGAAAGTGCTCCCTTAATGCCAAATGCTAACAATGCTGAGCAAATTAGTCTAAAGGCAAAGGATTGATATATTATTGTATTTTATTTTCTCTCTATTTTTTTCTTTATCATGAAAAATAGCAACCCCCTGCACCCTATCTGGCCAGCGCTAGGGTGCACTCAGGGCTAGGGTGCTGGCAAGGGTGCATCCCCCTCACCCCACACACACATCTTAAAATTCTGAAATCCAACAATCTTTGCCACCAAAGTTTATTACATTTCTGACACCTGTGGGTGGGGGAATTGATTTTTATTTGACCGGAATATTTATCCCCACCTACAGGAATTTGACTGTTTTTCTTGTCAATTTTTCAAATCCCCTACTCTGTCGCGACCTCCCCCCCCCCCACGGAATTTCCAGAGATATGTGCATTACTGTCAAAAGTGCATAGGCAAAGCGGGTAGACAAGAAAGTGGAAACTTGCAAATTTGTTTGGATGCATGGTTGTCAGCCAGTGGCGTAGCCAGGGTTTAAAAAGTGGGGGGACGACTTGAGCGCCAAAGGCACGAACACTGTAGCGGGTCTGGAAAATTTTGACATTCGGAGCCTCCGAAATGTGGATATGCCACTGTGGATATGCCACTGTTGCCACCATCAACCGAGTTTTTCCATTGTTGCCACCATCAACCTAGCTTTTCATCAGTGGAAAAACCTCCTAATCCAACAAAGTAAGTTCAGTATAATTATACTGCATCATTATCAAGAGTTTTATATGCTTTAGTAAATAGTTTTTGATTTCATGGTCATAAAATATACAGTGGTCTTACTTTTTTATATACAATTATATAAAACATATAGGAATAACTGCGTACTAATAAAGCAAATAAGTAACCTTCTGTTGACTGACAATCTGGTGCTCGAAATAATATGAATCTTTTAATTATTATATTGTCAGCCTGTAAAATGTATATGAATCATAAGCATGAAATGTAATGTTTATATGTGAAATATATAAGGTAAATACCTTCAATTTCCATTGACACAGCAAATGTGATAAAATCGAATGCATTGATCTAAAAATCAGTGATCGAATGCAGTCGTGATAGTCCTTTGTGTCGCATATTTCGAGGCTGTGGGCACTCTTTCCACTTCGAGTGTAACCTACCAGACATCAGAGCTTGCCCGATTTGCAAATATCCTCTCAAGTCAAAAGCAGAAAGCTTGGACCAACGAGGCAGTCATAAACGGCGATTCTTCTACTTTGCTTTAGTGCTATATGGCCACTACTGGCAAAATTATAGTCGTGTAGTGACCGATTGCCAGGAAATTTAACTTCAAACTCGCAGTGAAAATGCCTTCTTTCTCAAATACCTCGAGCCACTCGTAAATATTTTCGGACATATGTCTTCGCTTCAATCAGTGGACGGTTCCGGCAATTCTAAAGTTGAGAAAAGTCTGAAAGTTGAAAGATAAATTTGCAGCAATCTACCTTTCGACTCTCAAATTTCTTATCGATAACACAAAATTCCATATCCTTTTCGATGTCATAAATTATTTTTGAAAAATGTCTTAAAAGCCCTACCTTATTTCTCATAAAAGGGTACTCTTTTTTGAGATTTGTGTGATAAGTGTATTGGTTCGTTTTAATTACCCTTTTAACGCAAATCCCCGCGGCAAATTTTTCGAAAATTTCATATTTTATAGGATTTCATTGAAATAAGTCCAAAATATTAAAAACCGAGGCCCCCTCAAGGCTTTATTTACAACCGTAATTTTCGTGTTGAAATATGCGTCTAAACCGGAAGTAGTAACAATGTACGCGTTCTGATTGGCTTAGCGCCAAAAGGTAAACAAATGCTCTAGTTGGTCGAAAACGAAATTCACCCTTGTTAGCGGGGTGCGGATAGTTTATATTTGGCTCGTAGAGAGCAATTGCATTTTCGTCTGCTTACCAAGCTATCTGCTTATCTAACATCGCGTTAGGTATTATGTATAAAATTCACATGAACTAATCATTTTAAATTAGTTGTGAACATCCCACAAGCAGAACAGCACATACTGCAGTGTAAATGACAAAGTTTTCTTATTTTTCGTCGTATGGCTAAGCTGAAGAACTGTCATATAATGACTCCCTTTTCAAGAAATGATGGCTAATTGAGCTTGAAAGGACGTAAGGGCATTTAAAACACTACATTAGATTTTTCTGGCTTATTGGATATGTCTTACTATGTCGCTAAGTATTTTAATGGATCGTATTTAACCTGCAGCTTGTCTATTTTCCCAAAGATTTTTCTCTAGTAAGTAAATGATAGTAAAAAAATTAAATTCCTTAGAAAAGCTTCTTTCTTCTCGCCCAGTACCCCACGCAGCCTCCTTGCACAATTTACTAATTTTGAATTTCCTCATTTTGGGGGACAAAAAACTTTCGGTTAATTGATTAAAATATCATGTCAATTTCATGTCAAATTGATCGCTAGACTTGGGCAAAATTTCAAATTTTGGACGCTACTAACGCCCAGACAGCTCCACCTCCGACAATCGCGTGCAAAAATAATGAGATGTTTGACATGTCTGGCCATTTTAAAGTACGTCGGCCACCCCCCTGCACCCGTGATCAATGTTGGATAAAGTTGGTTGAATTTTCTCTTTTCAGCCATTCATACAACATTGAATCTTGGGGTGATGGGAGCATTTATGCGGTTGTCTCAATAATTTTTGCTCCTGATTGTAAGTACGTATTTGTTTTGCATTTTGATAAAATCAAAAAGAGCGATCTGAAAGCATGATCAGCTGCCATGATGCACGGTTTATTAAAATGCAGTCCTTAAATTAAGCAGCATTATGACTGCCTTTTCGTTTCACTGTATGTTCTTACAAAGATCTTGCGGTCCATTATAACTACTTGACGAAACCTAAACCGGATTCAAGTTCAACAATACATGATATTTATAATATTACTAAATTGTTTGGTATGTTTCGACACAGTTGAACTGGAAAATAGGCCTTTGGACATAAGAAACCGAAAACGAGTCGCGTACGTTTGTGTGTAATAATGCACGCGGGGAATGTTGAGGAATACGAGAGGCACAAGCCGAGTGTGTTACACGCTTCTCGCGCATTCTCCCACACGAGACGAGTTTTTCTATTTCTTTAATATTATAAGTAGAAGATATTACATAGTAACAATTTTACTCAAAACACCTCAGTGACGTCACGCGTATGTTTTTAATGTCGCTTGAATTTGTGAACGGACGAACGAGCAAAAGCAATACAAAGTTTTGATAACGTTTTGATATAAAAAGTTGCGTAGAAACTGCTTAATATGCTGGAAATCTATATAAACAAAAGTGATAAAAAGACTAACTTGATAATGTTTTTCAGCGTCTGGGCTGCTGGATATGCCATGAAAGACGTAAAATCGTAGGTTTAATTCATCTTGTTGCTCAGTTTTTGTTTTTTTTAATTATTGTATTTTTTGGCCTTTCGCCGAAACTGTAGGCCTATCTAGCAGTTTTTATTACAAGTATATTGAAAGCACTTTCTAACTTACTTTTGTTAATTTTTGTTGTTGCCGATTTTCTTTGTTTTTGGTATTCCGATCCTATATCTTCTTCAAGTTCTTTTCTCGGCTATTTTGCACGCTTTTGTCCAAAACTTGTTGACAAAAACAAATTCGACGAATACCAAGCCGGTTAATTTTACTGTTATTACACGTAGAACTATATATATAAACTAAATAAGTTCTTTCTATATTTGCATGGTGATAAAACACATAATAGTTTTGTTTGTGGAAACACGACGTAAATTTATTACTGCAAAGCTTTCGATCTTTAAGCCCGGATCTTCATCAGTGCTAATAATATGTGACTTGTTTAATTCACACGCCCTTTTTATATACAAAAGTGTCGTGATCTGTTGGCTCGCGTCATTTGAAATTTAACTAAGCGGCACATCAACCACGTCATTTCAAACGTAGTGAAGTGATTCAATTAACGCGGGCGCATCCAAGACAAGAGAAATTTAGTTTCGCACATTAAAGAAAGCACGCCACGTACTATCTAGTGGCTTTCCCTCGTGATCTATAGTATTGTGCTTCTCGATTTCAATTGACTCTCTCATTTTTCGAGAGAACTTATGACTATCAATCGCCAATATGGTTGCTTCGTCCCATTTAATACGATGGTCGTAAGTCCAAGTATGTTTAGCCACAGCAGATTTATCTTGCTCGGCTTTCTCGCAATTCGTCTTCTGTTCAATTAAGACGTACTGAGAGATTCCGACCAGTTTCACCAACATATGTAAACCAGACCACATTCACAAGGAATGCGATACACACCAGGTTTCTGAGCTTAATTTACGTTGTCTTTATGTGTGCAAAGAGCTCGAAACAATTTGTTTTCGCTGGAATGGCATATACCTTTATACCTGCTTCATTCC